AGCATATGAGAGAACGATTTTCACCAGAAAAATAACTGGAGTGAAAAAAATAAAACTAGAGTGACGATGAAACTGCTATAACATTTGTACATAATATGCCAATACAATATTTTCTATCCAAGGGGTACAATGCCGCTTGTATTCAGACAACATAAAAACATATCTGAAGACTACAATTTCGTTTGGGACGATTTTTTTTATGTTTCTTAAAATAATTTTTTTAGTATAAAGCTCCTAATTTTTGTATTAAAAAGTCGGTTTAAACAGCAGTAAAAATAGACGAAGCCTACAATTCTAACCTGTGATCGTTTTGACTTTTATGGTCCGAAATAGTACGAAGCTGATGCAATATCTCGGTGAAGTCATCAGGTGGGGGGCATGAAAAATGCAGATGTTCGCCTGTGTGAGGGTGCTTAAATCTGCATAAGATGAGTAGCCAAGATGCTCCTATCTCAAGAAATAAATAAATGGCATGGAATCGAAATAAGGTAAACAAATTTGAAGCTTTTGAAATTAATTTTGTTTACCCCAGTGATTGAGCGTGGAGGCAAGGTCTCTGTAACTTGGATACCATATCTGATACAAGAGCATGGCAACTCATAGGAGTCCTTGACTTCAGCAGTGACAGTGCCAGGCCTTTGGTGCCTCCATAAAGCTCATCACCCAGCAGTGGGATTCCTAAGTACTTCGCATGTGTGCGTATCTGCTCAAAGGCAGCACACCCAATGTTATATCTGTTGCCATATCATTGAAGTTTTGTAGTTTTGTTTGGAACAGTTTTTTTATCGCTTTATAAATAACTTTTTAGTACAAATTTTTTCAAATATTTTAGGAATCAGTAAAAAAGCTAACCCAAATGAAACCTCAATGCCAACACAAGCTAGGCATAGTCGTTTACTTGAAGGCTAAACCTCCCATGCTAATGGACAGCATACTTTATCTCCACTTTTTTAATACAAAAAAAGGTTCTTCAGGAATATTTCATTTGATATTGAGATATAATTTATGGAAAAGTGCAAAGACAATTGAACATCTAATTGATGCATTAATATGTGGCTTAAAATTGATTTGATAAGAACGAATCTTTTGAAGTGTCATCTAATTATTGCTAAGTATTTTATTTTAGGTTAATCACTTTGTAGCAACTGTGAATTGAAAACTGCTTTCAATAGACTAACTTGAATGATTGGTCGGTAAGAGGATGCATTCATGGGTATAGGATAAGAAGACTCGCGTGAAGAATCAAGCTCCAAACATAATCTAGCTTAGTGAGAGTATTGTAATTAGATTTCATTGTACAATTTTACTACTTAATCAGCTTCCGAATACAAAAATTCTAATTTTTGTACTAAAAATTTACTTTAAGAAACCGTAAGAAAGTCGTCTCGAACAAAGCCTAAGTCTTACTAAAGATATTCGTGTTGATAAATGCAATTAAATTTGATTAGATTTTATTTATAATATTTCAAAACAAATTTTAAGACATTTTTGAGAATTTCATTAGCTTAATTTTTTTAGATGCTTGAATTATTTCATATTTAATTATATGTGAAATTATTTTAATTATTATTTTATTTTGTGATCAATCTTAACCTCTAAATAGCCTCCAAAGAATGACATGTATAGCACTAGAACGTACTGAGAGGGGTACACATCAACACCCCTAGAAAAGACAGTAATCAAAGAAGTCCTCAAAATGCGGAGTTGTGTTTTTACAACCCTCAAAATCTAAAGGATTGATAATCACCCCAAGTCAATCAATAATTGTATTGAAAGGGGTCCACATCAACACCCTAGGAGATGAAATGATCAAAGGAGATCTCAAAAGGCAAAGGAGTTATTTCTCACAACCCTCAAAATCTGAAGGATCAATAATAATCAATCTAGTCAACCCTATGTCAATCCAATGAATTTCAAACAACTTCAATCAAGATCTTTAATCATCTTATTTACATGATAATGGGTCCCAAATTAATCCCTTAACATGATCACATTATAAGGTATCGACGACACATTAAAGGTGCAAGAATCGAGCTTAAAATTATCTTAAAATAGTCTAATGAATCTTAAGAGTATTCAACTTGTCAATTTTTTAGGTATATCTTGCTTATTTCTTAATAGAAACTAATGAGTATATTCCTTAGATCATTGACACAATTTTCTCCAGCTTTGATGTTCATCACTTTAGCTAAATTTGACTCCATTCAACCCAAAATTTGAATACTCCAAGAATCCGAAATCTAAATTTTTACAATCAATCTAACCACTACTCACTATTATGCTCATTTATGATCTAAAATGGATTCAATTTGAACCTTAAATACCTAACACAATTCCCTATAACTTTGCTATTCATCACATTACCTAATTTTGGCATTAAACCCAAATTCTTGAAAACTATAAGAACCCAAAACCTAAATTTTTGAATCAGCATGTAACCACCCTTTTGTATTTACTTATTCATTTCGTAACACAAATGGATAAAAAAATGGACCCTAAATCCCTATCAAATTCCCTAAAAAGTTAATGTTCATGACTTGAACTAATCTTGATTCCATTAAACCCAGGTTATTGAAAACTCAAAGAATCCAAACTGAAATTTTAAAATCGATTTGATCACCCTTCAATATTCTGGATATATCTCCCTCATTTCTTATTATAAACTGATAAAATTTGAATCCTAGATTGCTGACATAACTCCTTATAAGTTAGATGTTAATCATCACTGTAGCTAATTGCAACTAAAAAAACCATTGCTTTCATAAAAAAACAAAAGCATAAAATTTGAAGTCAACTCCACTTCCTCGAAGTATCAGAAGTGGTGAAAGACTTTAATCCCATATTACTGAGGAGACTCACCTCCCTCTCCACCCTCTCCACCCTCTCCTCTGCATAAATAAATAGGCAAACCCTCTCATAAATTACTAAAAGCCTCTAGTTCCCTCGGTGAAACTCTATTATAATTCTACATTGCCATCGAGTTGGAAGTTCTTTTAAACCCAAATCTCTCTCCCTCTCTCTTTTATTTTAAGCATTTTATTTTCTGAGCCATTTAATTTCTTGCATTGTATTTTCTAATCATTAGAATGGTACATCTCAAAGTGCTTCGAATCTAAGGTATATTACAGGTGCCAAAGCTTAGTCATCTATAAGGTGATAATACGTTAAAGCATGATCATCTGCGAAGATACATATTTTATATTTCGTAAAATATCAGTATTTAACCATAAGTTCATCAGCATCAGATATGACCAAAATAAATCTTTACGACCTAAACATGATCAGCTCTAGCAAAAGGAGCATCTTTATAATCGCCTTAAACATAGTTATCTTACATAGCAAGCATGAGTCCTCTCAAGGTGCCTATTGACCCATCATCTTTTATGCATATAATAACTAATGTGATATTTTCGTCACCCCCTTAACCTGGGTTATGGCAACATAGTTTTAAAATTTCATCAACAAGTACAGTCGTACAGATAACTACAACAACAAGAATGAAAATATTAACTTAGAGAGAGCGCATATGATTATCATAATTGAAACAAATTATATTAACCCCACCAAATAAAGCTTATGCCTCTATACCATAAAAGCTCTAATAAGGGATTGTTCGATTGCAAGTTATCTAGAATAATCATGCACTGTAGATTAAGCATAACATATTTGGAACACTAATGAATATTTGATTGGTAGTAAAATAATGAAAGTTTTTTTTTTTTTTTTGTTCGGTTGAAAATAAAATGAATAATATTATCGTTGCTAGGTCCCAAGTCCTGAATGAGAGTAGTCGACAACCAGCATAAAACTTGTCGAATAATCATGACATAAATAATTTAATACATTATGTTAATACTATGGCTTTCTCTGGAAGCGACGCATTGTGTGGCAACGACAAGTGAGCAAGGGCTGCTGCAACGGCGCCAAGGTGCGGTGTTAAATGGGCAAGGATTCCCACATCATGGACGGATGTGGGCAAAAAAACTAATCCATAAAACTAAAATAGGATAGGAACATGGAATATAAGTTCCCTTATTGGAAAATTAATAAAATTAATATATATTATTATTCATAGAAAGATAAATATTCTATGTATTTAGAAAACTAAATAGGTCAGTGAGAAAGCTAAGGAGATTATTCTGCTATGAGTCATAATAGTAATAGTGTAGGTGTGACTATAAATAAGAGATTGAAGGATAATGTTATAAAAATTAATAGAATTAGAGATAGAATTATAATTTTAAAGATTGTTGTTGATGAAAAAATTATTAATATTATAAGCGCTTATGCTCCTTAAATAGGTTTGAATATGTATTCAAAATTAAAATTTTGGAATGATCTAGAAAAATTAATACAAAAGATACCTCTTGAAAAAAAAAAATTATTGGATAAGATTTTAATGGACATGTTGGTAGAGAAGTAGATGATTTTAAAAACATTCATGGTGACTATGAATTTGGAACGATTAATGAAAGTGGTAAAACTATATTAGATCTTTCTTTATCGTATGATTTTATAATTTCTAATACCTTATTCAAGAAAAGGAATGAACATCTCATCACTTATAAGAATTGATAGAGTAAAACTCAGATTGATTATTTTCTTATAAAAAATAGATCATTTAGATTGCAAAGATTGTAAAATTACTCCGAGTTAAAGTTTATGTACCCAAATTCACTTATTAGTTTTGAACTTAAAAGATGAAGGGGTAGAAAATAAAAAATAAAGTAAATCGTTATTCTAGGATTAGATTGGGGCATTTAAAAAATATTAATAAAAATATTTTTGTGAGTAAGATTCTACATCTTAAGATTTACTCTATGCATATGGAAGCTAATATTATATGAAAAAAAGTAGTTAGTAAGATTAAGAATGTTGTAGAAGACGTGCATGCAGTATCAAAGAAAAAAGCTACTAATAGTAAAAATAATTTGTGGTGAAATCAAAATGTGCAAGAAAAGATAAAAAAATAATAAGATTTGTTATAAAAATTGATTTAGCTGTAAAAATTTTGATAATTATGAAAGATATAAAGATGCTCGTAAGGATTTTAAGAAATCAATTTGCAATGCAAAAATTTTAGTTTTTAATGATTTATATAATATATTAGATACAAAGGAAGGCGAAAAATATATATATAAGTTAGCTAAACAAAGAGATATGAGTAGTAAGAATTTAGTTTAAGTGATGTGTTAAGAATGAAGATCAAAAAATGCTTTTATTAGAATAGGATAAAATATTTTGCTAAACTTTTCAATGAAGATTATGAGAATACGATTGACATTAGTAACATTAGTGACATTAGCACCCTAAATGAAAATAAAGATTTTTTTTTTTGTCAGTGTATTAGTAAATCTGAAGTTAAAGATGCTTTAAAGAAAATATAAAGTGGAAAACTATTGGACCAGATGATATTTCAATAGAAATGAAAATGCTTAGGAGATGAAGGAATTTCTAGGATTACTAAACTTTTAATATTATTTTGAAGGCTAAAAAAATGTCATATGAGTGAAGAATGATGAGTGTGTTGATTCCTATTTTTAGGAATAAAAGTGATGCACAAGATTGTGTGAACTATAGAGGAATTAAGTTAATGTGTCATAGTTTGAAACTATGGGAGAGAGTTATGGAGAATCAGTTGCGGTGTGACACTAATGTTTCTCAAAATCAATTTGGATTCATGCCATGTAGGTATACCATGGA